AGTTGTACTGCTCCAACATGACAATGGCAGTCTGCTATGAAGAACAGGAAACAATAAACATGAACAAGAGCCACAAAATATCAATAGTGACATTCCTGTGGATGATGAGTGATGATGATGATGAGATATTATATACATTCGACCGAGGGTGATGCCCCTTCTGCTCTGTGTCACGCGTAAAGTGTGTGTGAGTGGGCGGGGAGGGCGATGTATGTGTGCTGTACACATTTCACGTTATCAGTGGGCATTTGTGGCCCACAGTATTCTATATGACCCTGGGGAGGGCACACGGTAGACTGACGTATCTAACCAAGCCATCAGAGACACACGGGCAATTTAGCAAATGGCGGCGACGATGAGGCAACAACGTATATGTGTTTCGCAGAATGTCGTTGAATGACGCCATTTCCCATGCCATCGCCCATGAGACAGGATGTCTTTAATTGTGGAATGAATCCAACTTTGACCATCAGCCATTTTCTTTTCTGCTTTTCCGGTTGAGTCTGAGCTAGACCTTATCCCATCCGAGAGACTGGTTACACCCAGGACTCATCACCTGTCAATCACAGGTTTGAAGAGAGACGAAGTCACACTCACTTTTACCTATATGAGCAATTTAGAGTCTCCATTTAAGAGGCCAATGATTTTGGACTGGGAATAACATGACATGGTTTAACCAGCACTTGAAAGGGTAAATGAGAAAAACTGATTTGTAAACATTGTTCAAATCCTGTAAAAGCAAATGGTACAATTTTAACATAATCCCAGAGAAACCTGTTGTAAACAACAGAGCTGATCAAAACATTTCGTTGCCCTAAAGTAAACTTCTGAACATCAGATAAATGTGAGCATGGCTCCGGGGAGACTCAAGAGGACTTGGCTGAATGATCTTTGGAGCAGTGTGTGTACATGCGTGCGAGAGCCCGTGTGTGTGCGTCTTGATGAGGGAAGGCATCAAAGAAGGCGAGCATCCTGTGGGCAACACAGGGCAGGACCAGTGGGTGAAAGGCAGTGACAAAGTGGGTGTCCTAGAGGAGGCACCACAACGTCTGCATCACACACACACACACACACACACACACACACACACACACACACACACACTCTAACAAAATGGGCCTCCATGTAATTAAATGTAATGATGTAGTGTCAGGGCTCAGGGGACAGATAAGACACTCACACATACACACTGACACACACGCAATTGTGATTTAACATCACAAACTGAGACACGGCAACCATCTTAAAAAAGTTTTATTTCCAATTTGTGACACAAAAGGCAAAAATAACACGTATTTACTTTAACTGGGGTCCTGCAAGGTCATCAGAGCTTTGTAACTTTGGAAGAAGGACTGCTTTCTTATTAATAATAAGCCTTATTGTCATAATAAGTGGGACTATTGCAACATGCCTTTTTATCAATCAGTCTGAAGTTGCCCCGAAAGAACTATCCCAAAATAAAATAAAAGCACCTCCAAAATTTTAGAGATCTATAATATTATTGTAGGAGACTGTTTATGTTATTCACTTGATTTTTTTGTTTTGTTGCATTATTATCGCTTTTCTGAGTGTTGGTGAAGTAGTCATTAATTTACGGTTTTTCAGAGGCGGCCATTAAACGTCTCTCGAGTTGGACTGCAGTTGAGAAGACACGTAGTCCAACAGAGACGCGTCTGTATTTTCTTGGGTGTTTCATGAATTAATAAAGTGTATATTTTAAAAACCAACACGACAGCTCTGTTTGTTTCGGAGCTGCAACATTATTATCAGAGGTGGACATTCTGTCAGTTCTGATCGAAGGTCCGTCAGTGCGTCTCTGACGAATGCCCGTTTGGCTGACGAATGATGTGAAAAAAATAGAATAAAATGACAGACTCAGCACTGACTTAAGTAAATTTTGGTCTGTCACTGTAATCATCACTATCCGGGCCAAGTACCGACAGACTTCTCAGTCCATCACTGACAGATGCCAATTTTGCTGACAACTGACAGAAACACACCCCACCTGTCTTGTGTACGTGTTAATATTAAAGCGTAGAGTGGTGCTTTAAGTGGCCGGTTTGCATCAGTTCGGAGTACCAGCACTTCTCAATTTTATCCTCAAGTGTACCGGGATTTCACATGACGCATTACCCTCTCTCGTTCTATTTCTCTCTTGCACTTTCCCTCGCAAAACTAGCGAGGCTCGCTATTTGAGCATGTGGCAGAAAAAGAATGTGAACAAGAATGAAGAGTGAAGAATGTAAGCATAATTAGAGTGAGTAAAAATGTTAAATTATGTATTTTATACAGTCATTGGTTAAATGACTGTATAAAATACTGTACAAAAAAGGGCCGAGGGAGGACCCCGACTGATGTTGAAGTGGGTGACTATATGACACAGGATGACACTTGAATCTTTCAAGTGAGGACCAGTTTCTGATTTATTTGTTGCTGGCAACATCAACAATGATTGCACAGAACAAGAATGGCCAGACTGCCGGTGTCAAACAACCAAATAAGTTTGTTTTTTTGTTTTGTTTTGTTTGTTTGTTTGTTTTTTGAGGGGGGGGGGGTCATATTGCATTATATATTATACCCATGAGGATCGCAGGCGTGCTGCAGCCTATCCCAGCTGTCCTGGGGCGATAGGCGGAGTCCACCCTGAACTGGTTGCCAGGGCACCCACAGGCATACAACTATTCACACTCGCAATCACACTGAGGGACAATTTAGCGTGTTCAGTTGCCATGCATGCTTTTGAAATGTGGAAGGTTTCCCCGGAGAAAAACTCCACACAGCAAAGCCAAGTCCGGGATTCTAACCCACTGGCATGTGTGAGCGTGGGTGTGCATTCTTACTTCTGTGTCATCACTCGAGGTCTCGACGACAGTAAAACGTGTTCATCTGCTGCCACCTATCGGTTATCTGTATAAAACCATATTAACAAGTCACATTTTTTTAGGGGGAATTTATTCTCTGACAGCAAAATAAATACATCTAAAAATAACAATTCGGGAAGACCGTTCAGACAGTAAAACAATTTTTAAGTACTGTATGCTGATATGACAAGTTTATTATTTATTTGTGCGTGACTGCTGGACTTCTACAGATGAATGCATGCACCCCCGTGTTGTTATGCTACAAAGGGAAGCAAAGCATTTTAATATTATAGCCACAATAGGACTGCATTATACTTTCACATTTGACTTATTTATCTACTCATTATAGGTTGATTTAGTCTGTTACTTTGGCAGACATGATTGTAGGGCTGAATAAAAAGTAAAACAATCATTTTTAAATCATGATGGAGTTGCAAAACATTTATGGTATCCGATAGGATTCCATAAAACAATTACCAGCAATAAATCCATAAGCAAAGTAATCCCAAGAAAAATAACATTTGATTCTTCTTCGCACTTTAATGGGGCAAACGTAAAATGAAATTCCAACAAATATTTGTTCATCCTACAGTATTTGTAACTACACATTCTCGAGGTAAATAAGCAAAACAAATAGCTACTGAAAACAAAGTCAATGCAGCGATTTGTATCGCCATGTCATGCAAGGGAAGATGCAACACATTTGTGAAATTCAAAACATACACTGGGATAAAAAAACTAATAATAATAACAATAATATTTGTGTTAGAATGGCAGTCTGAAGCCTATATGTGATGCTTGTTGAGTAACACATCCCTGGCCCCATTGATTTTCATAACGGGCCTGTATTGGATCCAATTCGACTGAGCAGGTGTAATTTATGAAGAGGCCAGTCAGTGTATATAATGAAACCTGCCAGGGCCCATGTGAAGCACTAAACCTGTTTCTCCCAGCATCATGCTCAAAGTCAGATACAGTGGTACCTCGACTTACGAACGTCTCTTCATACGAAATTTTCAAGTTACGAAACGCCTCAACAGGATAATACTGTCTCTTTTCACAAAAGACATTTCAAGATACGAAAGGTAAAAATATAGGATGGGCTGCAACTCGCAGCTCCGACTTTCCTGAATGCAACATATTTATAGCTGCATTGGCTGCATTGGCTATTACCAAGCATCTTCCTGGCATCCCATTGGCTAAGAGGGACGTATCTGTCCATTTGTGTAGATAGATAGATAGATAGATAGATAGATAGATAGATAGATAGATAGATAGATAGATAGATAGATATGTGTCTATGCAGCGTCCTCGTCATTCGCCCCTCGGGCCATGAGCCGTTCAAATAGTTTTATGTAAATGTGAATCACCCAGAAAAAATGTTCACCAGTTGGGCGATCGCATCACTATGCTGATGTTTGCCTTGGATATTTTCGAAGGATTGTTAAAAGCCGAAAAAAGCAAACTTCCTTGGATCAGTTCTTCACAAAACGGCAGGCAACAGCCACTTGTGAGAGAGAACATGAACTAAAGAGGGGGGAAAAAACGATGAGAACGCAGTTAAAAGTTAAATTACCATAATTTTTATTCTTTACTCCAGTGTTTTTCAAACTTTTTTGAGCCAAGGCACACTTCTTTCATTGAAAAAAATCTCGCGGCACACCACTAGCTAAAAATGTGACCCCCCCCTGCTTATTTTTCCAATTAACGTGTTATATTGTTACTCTAACTGTGACCCCCCCCCTGCTTATTTTTCCAATTAACGTGTTATATTGTTACTCTAACCGTTTTTAACATTGAAGAATGACGTTATAACAGCTTGAATTGGAATCAAATGAACACAAAGTAAACAGTATTTTATCATCTTTCATATTTATTGTTTCACCGTCGTCCTGCATTCATGCGTCACAAATTCGCTTGTCTCTCGTCGAAACACAAGGCAATTGGCTAGCTGTTGCTGCTCCCTAGCGGTATGGGAGGGGACTACATGATTACTTTCTGGGCGAAAGACCGCACAAACATACAAATTGGATATTTTCCCGCGGCACACGGGTTGAAAAACACTGCTTTACTCTATTCTTTGTTTTTTACATTATGCACAACGCTCATTTATTGTGCAACAATCTAATTGTAACATGTGTTTGTTACATATTTTGATGCAGTTTTATGCTATAAAAACATTTATGTCTGAATTTTGCGGGGGGCGTGGAACGGCTTCGGGCATTTACATGGAAAACGCGTCTCTACTTACAACATTTTCTAGTTAAGAAATTTCTTCCAGAACCAATTAATTTCGTAAGTAGAGGTACCGCTGTAGTGGGGAAAAAAAATAACTCGATTCCGTCTTGTGCAGAATATTTGAGTAAAAGCTGACTTAATTTAGAACGTGCATCTATAACATTTCAACTTTTTCGTCCACTTTTGTTACATCAGCTGTGCCGTCCAGGCTCCAAGGCAGAGTGAAGCTCTCACCTTCCAACTCCTTGTAAATGACTGAGGAGAAGTGGGCCAGTTGCTTGGAGCTAAAATGGTTCTTCCAGTCTCCAACGACACCTAATGCACAGACAAAACAGTGAGTCATCATGAAAAAATCCAGTTGCAGAAAAAAAACACCATCGACATTGCAGTTGCTTTATCTGCCTGAGGGAAAGCAGATATTTTTCCCATCAAAATCATTATTTCATATTTAATACTCAGTTAACTAATATCGCCATATCTTCAGCAGACTTGGAAACCTAATGAACCTACCTTTAAGTCGTTTCGAAAATTGATGGATGGATGAATCTGATTACCTGTTCATGATGTCAGTGGGCTTTGCTGGGAGATGCAATTTTCTTTTACATTTTCATGCATTTTATGTCACACTTGTCCTCATTAGGGTTGCGAGTGAGTCTATCCCTGCTGATATTGGGTGAGAGGCCAGGGTCACATTGGTCTGGTCGCCAGCCAATCACAGGGCACATACAAACACTCACATTTACACCTATGGGCAATTTGTCTTCAATCACCTAACATGCATGTTTTTGCTCGTTCAGGGAGCTGAATATGGTTGTAATTTTGGATTGATGTAAAAAGGTAGCTTCTTCACTCAGCAAAATAAATGAGCAACTGATATCAGAGAAAGCAGAACAGCTGCCTCACCTTTCCTCAGAAACTGAGACTTGTCAGAGTTCATGTATATCTTGGGGACCAAAGTGAAGTTGGACATGATGTTGGCCTGCATGGACTTGAAGGAACAGTGGCTGGATATTTTCTCGATGACTTCGTCACTCAGGTTCTTTCCCAGGAAATCAGACATAAGACGTAAAGCTGCAGGAAGGTCCTGCAAGGCATGAAAGTTTCTCAATAAATTCTCGAAGTGTGCGTATAGCATAGGGGTATCCAAAGTTGGTCCTCAAGGGCCGCTGTACTGCCTGTTTTCCAGCTTTGCCAGGAGCAACACACCTGATTCAAATCATCAGGATTATTCAAATGCTGCTTCAGAGCTGGCTGATGAGCTGACCATCTGAAGCAGGTGTGTTGCAGCTCGGAGAGATGTAAAACAGGCAGGATGGTGGACCTCCAGGCCCGGAGCTGGACATGCCTGGCCGCCGTATAGCATAGGGCAGGGGTGCCCAAACTTTTTGGACTGAAGATCTATTTTTAGATCACCCAAACTCCCCCGATGGACCCGTTATTGCACACCCGCGCATACGCACGCACTTACACACGCATGCCATGATGAGCAACAGCCATAATGGCCCCTAAGATGAACGAAACAGAAAAATAAAGACACGAGAGTTGGTAGGTTTGTGAAAAGGAAATCACTGCCTACCTTCGTCGAGACCTGACGCGGAGGCACGGGACGTACTTTTGCAGCGTGTTAACGATCGTAGCTCACTCGTACCGTTTTAAAATGCTTCTCTTGGCCCTCCAGATTCCCATTCTTTGCCAATTCCATTGTTGAACTTAACATGAAACAAACTCTGAATAATAATAATAATAATTATAATAATAAAAGCTATATCGCAACAGCGCTGATTGCAAGCTGCAATTGCAGACTGCTGGCCACTAACAACTTGCGGTGATGCAGGTCATGCACCACCGTAGGTCAAAGGTGATCTGCTTTTTTGATTTTATTTTGAAAATACTTTTTGTGAAAGTGAGACTGACAGCGTACAGTGTGCACTAACACAAAAATATATCATTTTAATCACACGCACACAGACACACAAACTTTTTTGTGAGAGGTTTATTTTTGGGGGGGGGGGTTCCCTGTTCACCCCTCGACCAGTCTGCGAGCTACCGGTCCATCGCGATCGACATATTGGGCACCCTGGCATAGTGTGGTTGAAAAACTCAAAAGACTTTGGTTTGTGTTTGTTTTACCTGAATCATTTGCTCATATGTGATATACATGATTCTGTCTCCCAGCTCGGTGTGCCTCCAGCTCTTAACATGGTTGGTCCATTTGCCAAACATCACTGAAAACAGACAGCACAGAATCATTTTGTGTCAAAATAGAAGTTAAAAATCAACGTTCATATGTGTCAGAGTAATCAATTAGACATTCAGAAATAAAACACGAGGAGGAGACAGGACACTCAATTCTGGTACCAGGGGGGAATGAGGAGAACCGTTTCAGTTCTCTGCACTTCACCCAAGGATCTCCCCACTCGCCCTCTCATTTATTTCTCACTGGGAATCTAATACAGGGTGCGTCCAACCTAAGGAGTGACGGCTGTTGAAGACACATACTGAACTTGTTTGACTATGTGTGTGTATGTGAGTGAAAAGTATGTACATGTGTGCAATCACGACAAAAACAGCAAGTTGCAGCTGGTGTTGACAGCTCCATCCATGTCCGACCTTGCTCTTATTTTGTCTTAATACTTGTCTCTTCCCAACCACTTTCTCGGAAAGGTGGTTGCGTCCCTCAACTGTCACACAGTGCACTTAGCATTCTTTATTATGAATGTGTGCATATCTTTATTTAAAGCATAATTATATCTTTATTAAAAGCTTAAGCATTCTTCATTACAGGCATAATCAATTCATCATTAATAATATGCAAATGTATGAAACCTAAAAACAATCAACCTAACATTATGCATATTTGTGTGTTCAATATAATAGTCAAGGGGGATCCACTACCAGGGGTGCCCATTACATCAATCGCGATCTACTGGTGCCAAGTCGATCGCAAGGGGTGTACAGGAGAAAAAAAAACATGTGTGTGTTTTTGTGCATGTTAGTAATATATTTATAAGTTAATGTACACTGCACCCTACTCATCTGTCGATCGCAAGGGGTGTAGAGGAGAAAAAAAAACATGTGTGCGTCTTTGTGCATGTTACTAATATATTTTTAATTATAAGTTAATGTACACTGCACCCTACTCATCCTATCCGTCTCACTTTCACAAGTATTTAAAAAAAGAAAATAAAGCAGGTAAGGCGTAGAAAAAAAAGTAGTGTTTCCGGTAACCCGACCGACCGAGAATTTCTACGTTGAAAAAAAACTTTACGGTCGGCATTTTTTTCAAACAACCCTCTACATTTTTGTGTAGAGGGTTTACATCTGTGCAAACTCTCGCGATATTCACGTTGAGCGGGTGCGTCGTTTGCCCTGTCGTCTGTCAACAACATTGAAACATGGCGGCGGCCGCGATCTCCGACGACAGTTTAAACCGCGTTTTCTGTGTTACAGTTGCAAGCTCGCACCATAATGTTAAGAAAATAGCATCCATTGATGTATCGAAAAAATTCAGCGAACTGTTTGATGAACACCACGGGCCGAGTAAAAACCTTGGGCGGAGGAGGAGGGCGGCGGAGGGGGCACCCCGGCCCCCCGAGTCCGGAGCGGGGAGAAAACTAAATAGGTGGCGGCGGCGCCGGCTGCCATATGTGGTGGCGGCGCCGGCCGCGGAGTGGCAGGTTCAATCTCTTCTTGTTTTATGTTTTATGGTTATTTTGTTTAAATTTTTGATGGAAAAAAAAAGATTAAAAAAAAAAAACTTTGTCCGACCTACCGACCCTATGCTGAAATTTCATGATACCGGAAACATCTTTTTTGTTTGGCCTAAGTATTTAACCTATGGTGGCGCGTGACCTGCGTCATCGGAAGTTGTTAGCGCTCAGCAGTCTGCAATTGCAGCTTATGATCAGAGCTGTTGCGCTATATCTTTTATCGTTATTATTATTCTCATTCAGAGTTTGTTTCGTGTACAATCCACTGAGGTCACGGGCAAAGAATAGAAATCTAGAGGGCCGAGGGAAGCACTTTAAAACGGTACGTGTGAGCTACGATAGTTAACAGGCTGCAAAAGTGCGTCGCATACCTCCGTGTCGGGCTGTTGCTCATCATGGCGTGCGTTTGTATGAGCGTGCGCGATAACGGGTCGATCGCGGGAGGTTGGTTGATCGAAAAGTCGATCTTCGGTCCAAAAAGTTTAGGCACCCCTGTGACAAACTAATGTATAAAAAGAATCTAGGAAAATAAGTATGGAAATGGTTGTCCATCAGTTACAGTATGTATTACGTTTATCATTGCGATTTTCGTCTGAAATGGTGTAATAATGTGTTGCACAAGATGTGCCCCAAACCAAGGGACCTTATTTAACAAAATGAAAGGAAAACTAATGGATGTACATCATTGGTGTCCAAACTACGACCTGGAGGCCATTTGCGGCCCGCCACCCACTACATGACAAAAAAAATTAAGGAAAAACTAAAACTAAAAATGACATTTGACACGGGCTGCAAGATGAGTAAAAAACGGTGAAGGCGTTTGTCAGAAAAATAGCTGCCATCACTACTACTAAGTTTATTGATACACTGTAGAACTTTTCTCTATCTACGAGGATATAGATGTACCATTTCTGATTATAGAATAATAATTAACAATAGATTAAGAATAACAATTCAAGAATAAAGAATTCAATTTTGAGGCAAATATTGTTTCTTCCACTTTGTGCTCTATGGATTATTTCTGAAGATATCACATTAATGAGCCTCAAGTAACTCTTGGAACTACAATTTGTTCATGTTTGGTTTCTGAATGTGGAGATGGGATTCAGCTGCTGTTTAGTGCAGAGCTGGATCGACTCTATGGGATAGACGGCGATGGGCCACCCTAAAAATCCTCAACTATTTGCCTTAACTCGACAACACAAACAATATCTCATTGCTTTCTTGACTGACTTTGGTGTGTTTCAAAAAGTTGAAAACTTTTAACAGTGGCCCTTTCATCCTTCTTTTTCTGTATGCGTCCCTCAAGCGTAAAACTTTGGATACCACCGATGTACATGTTTTACAATGTGTCCTAAATTGCAAGAACACAGATTTCATCCATTGTTTGGGGGCTTAATACTGGCATCAATGTATGAAAAGTAATTCAGTGAATGAAATCATTATCGGATAGATTTAAGGTGCTTTAAAACAAAGTTCAAATTTTGGACAAGTAAATCAGGAAATCTTGAAATGCAACGCTCTCAGCTATAAGAAAACACTTCACAAGAAAATAATTTCTAACCCGAGAGTCAAATTAGGAGACAACTTATCCAATTTCTTCCCAATTTAAAACAGTTCCCAGGTGCCTCAATAAATGGCTTCACTGTCTATGACATTCTTCAGTCAAACAAGCAAAGGAAAAAGAATTACAGCACACTGGTCGAAACGACTCCCTTTTGGGGAGCTGTTCTTTCTCATGCAAATAAGTCACTGTTCACCCTGACCTCTATTCTGAGGGAACCAACTGGGTGCAGAGCAAGTGGCTATTTCAGCGCAGAGTCTGAAGAGAAAAGCAACACCCTGGAAACTAATCATAATAATAATAATAATAATAATAGTAAATACAAAACAGACCTCTGCCTTCCAGGAATTTGTCAATAAACTCTTCCCAGGTTCCAGGGTCTTCAAGGAAAGTGGCCATCTGGTGGAAGTAATAGGAAGACACCGCGACATCCTTGGGGTTCCTCATTACATAGATCACCTGACGAAGGGGGGGAAATGCGTCAAATCCAGGATGACTTTGTAGATGCTAAAGGGAGATACAGCATTGTATTTTCAAGCAGAACTAACTTTGGCTTTCGAGGAGAAGAAAGATTGTGGCATGAGTTCGTACGGAAAATGTGTAACCAGTGCTCGTGGAGAAGGCAACTGATCCACAACTACTTTTAATCTTTTTTCCTCCAGCCAGGGGACTCTATCCCAGTTGGGAATAGTTTGGATCGGTGTCAAGTCTCCACCATTCAGCACCAGCGGGAGGATCTCTTGCATCCAGACTGTACCTGTAGAGGAGAGCATTTTGTATTACAATGTACATGACTGTATATACAGCCGATGACAAAAGTTGTATAATCTTGTGTCAAACATAACCACTTTAATTTCAATCTATGTGGATTGCTCAATCAGAACTAGACATTAAACAGAAGAAACACACAGTTCACGCTCAAATACCCACACCTTAGACCGGTAATCAGACTCACACACACACACACACACACACACACACACACACACACACACACACACACACACACACACACACACACACACTACTGGTAATTGCCTTCCATTGAAGTTCAGCTCATGCTTTTCAATGTTGACAGAAGTAGTACTGCTTTCTGATTATCGTTTAGCACTTTCACACCCATTAAACGTACTGTTAAACAAATTGTTGCAATTATTTTGAGTGAAGCAGTCACATTTCATATACTTCCAAAATTCTCTTTCATTACCTGTACAAACTTCCAATGTCACACTTAGACTGGAAAGTGTTATGTTTCTGTCTGGTTACGTTTGGTTTTGTTTCCTGATGTGCCCTTCTTGTCGCCACCTGTTCTCATCATCTGTGTCCCTTGTGTTTAACCAATCAGCTCCCTCAACCCTTTGTGTCTTGTCCAGGTGTTTCTCGTTGTCTAGTCACTTTGCTTGTATTTAGTTCCTTGAGTTCTGTCAGTCTTCGTTGGGTCATTGTGAGTGTGAGTATAGGTGTGCTCCTGTCATAGTTTTGATGGTTACTTTGGTTCCTTGTGCTTTCCAGGCATTTGTTTGAGTACTTCGACTTTGTGTTTTTCCTTTGTACTCCAGTTTGTATTTTTGTTAAATAGTATTTAACAAGTACAAGTACTTATTTAACACGCATGTCGACACACTGTGTTGATACTGTGTTGATACTGTGTCGCTGACCACTGCCACCTGCTAGACCTTCAAAATCCCTGCAGCTAACCCACTTGACAGACTGGACTGATTTGACGATGAAGTGTATACAATATCATTCGCGGGAGAACACACACACAATGTGTCATGTCCCGTTTTCGACAGCAGGTGGCAGGCGGTGCATTCTGGCTGGCTGCACACCTGCTACCTATTTGTCATTAAGCACCTGCTTTATTAGAGCTGTCTTTCTGACTCTTACTTGACGGAGAATTGCTTGCCGTGCCACTGCTTTGCCCGTGTGTCGGTCTTCTCCCTCTCGTATTAGTCTTAGTGCGCTAGTTAGATTCGTCGACTCTTTTTGGTGAAGTCTTTTCTTCGTGTGTAATCGTATTCGAGTTTATTTTTCTTCCTTGCCTTTTGTGCGAGCGTTTTTTGTTATTGGGTTTTTGCATGTTCTCCTGGTACTTGTTTTGACCAGCGTTTTCTGTTGTCTATTTTCGGCGGTGCGGTTTTTGTTAATAAATATTATTTT